GAAAGAATTCTTTAATTCAGGACAGAAATCTGCTGTGTTTTCTTACCATGGCACGAGCTCCATTACTGCACACGCCGTCAGAATTTTCCCAAGAAATATTATTTCCTATGATGTAAGAATTTTCTAATTTCAAGATTTCTTCTCCCATAGTTCTTTTCAAAAAAGAAATTTTTCAACGACTTCATTTTTGTGATCATATTTTGCAAAGCAAAATAGTTGTGCAGCACTTTGGCAATCAATGAATCCATCCTACTAAAGACTGATTTTTTTTTTTTTTTTTTTTTTTTTAAATTCAAAGTTTACTTTCCATATTATCTGCCATTTTGTATATTCTGTAACTAGTTATATCGGAGAGGCATATAGGATATATCTCTGTTGCTTTTTCTTTCTGCCAAACATAATGCCTACTATATTCTGGACTGCTGAAAATATTAATATTTCAACAATTGTGTACAGCTTGCCAGTTTTAGTTGTACAATAGCTCACTTGGTAAGAAGTATTCAGTGCTTTTTTTAATTAATATCAGTAAAAGTCAAGTTAGTTTTTCTCACTTTCCAGTCTCTCATTTGAATCTTTGACACAAGTTGGAGCCTTTTCTATAGAGTTTGCAAAGGTATTTTGCAGTACATATTGCCAGGCAAGCCCAATTTCATGAGCACTGTAAATTTGTTTTGGATATAACTTTTAACTGTTAATGAGTTCAGTGAATTTATGTGTAAATAATTCAGCATCTTCAGTATCAGCTGAAGATTTTTTACCTGAAATTCTTAATTGCCTTATACCATGGTGATTTTTACATTTGGTTTACCAACCTGTCGAATAAGTGCACTCAGTTTTTATAAGTTAATTTCTTAGTCAAATATTTTAACTTGCACCATTAACATTTGAACTGTTAATGGCACATCCTCATTGCGACGCTGTGTGACCCAATCAGTCATCATCTTGTCATGATCTTCACTTTTAGCATAATGAATAATTTTTCTGTTATTCATTGCGAGCGGGGTGTTGGTATCCACAAAAAATTCAAAAAGTTCCTTTTTGTGTTTTCATATGTCATATACAGTTGATTTTCCAATGCCATACTCCTCGCATAATTATGAGAGGGATATACCTTTATCCATTTTTTGAAGCAATTCCACTTTTTATTTAATGGACATCGAAACATGCTTTCTCTTTATAGACCCTGCTGCAGCTCCACAATTAGAAACTCTTTTCAACATGATCGGAAGTTGAAACTTTAATTTTCATCAAATTGCTGTAATAAAAACAGCCTGCAAAAAATAATTAAGTTAGATCAAACCAGAAAGTTGAGGAACAATCTGCTATATTGGCTGAAATTCCTTGGAATCGGTAAAGTATAATTTTAGCCTAGCTTAATAACATCCGCTATGCATTATTGACTATGTTTCAGGAGACTGGCGATGAAAGACAAGTTGTTCTGCTAAATTTTGTTTTGCTTCTATCACGCACTGAGACGATTAAGCCTGATTCTATTAGTTATGTGTTATACTTACATCTATTTCTTGCACATGCCTAAGGCTTATCTGAATCCTGAATAAATAAATTCCCATATATACTTAAGGCTTATTGAGGGCTGGCGGTAGATATCATCTGCAAATAATTCAGCATCTTCAGTATCAGCTGAAGCTTTTTTACCTGAAATTGTTAATTGCCTTATAGCATGGCGATAGATATCTCACCGCCTGATGCAGTCTCTGTGGGTCCTAAATTCTGCTACCAAGTGCCTCCATATGTTTTAAATTTTTGCTGCCCCTAAATTTTGAATCCCAGTTCTTTATCTAAATTCTAAAAATATTTTTATCCTTTAATTTTGTTGCTCGATGCTTCCCTAAATTCCCAAAATCTCATCTTCCCTAAATTCTGCCGCCCAGTGCGGCCATACGAGCTCTGGCGCAAGTCCTGGGTTTATGTGAGAAAAAAATCAGTTATTCTGAATTCAAATAGCACTAAATGTAATGTCTATACATATGAGTATCATTAACAAAATATATTTTTAACAAATGGAAAAAAGATTTTTAAAAATTCTTCCTCGTCAATTAGTGTATTAAACTTAAATCTGTAATCATTGCCAAGTGTAATAATGTCAACATAAAAGGTTACCAGTACTCTTTGTACTATTATAAAATAATTTTTTTTTAGTTGTTGCTGCATGAGACATTTCTCAAGTTGTCATGTGCTGATAAACATATTATGATGAAAGCAAAATATAATAAATAATGATTCACCAGGTTGGCATCAGGGATATAAAATATTAGTAGGTGTAAAATAACTATGTTTCTTTCTAGAGTGCTTCGGTTTGAGATGTAAGCCAAGCAGATATGCAGCTATGGAGCCAATTTATGCAAAATTATTGTTTCTTCAATAATGTGGTATATATTTAGTGTCAAAGGGAAATTAAGAATCGGGACTCCCCACATGTTTTATCTACAAGGGGGAAAAATCAAATGCACATTCATAAAGCATTAAAAAAAAATGTTGTTGACGGTTCTGAGGTCCGGATTTTAGATCATTCTGGATATTGAACGTCCGGATCTTGGACTTTTCCCATATGTGGTATAAACAAGCAATTTTTCTTAGACAGTCCTCTGCAAGATCAACTCTTCTAAAATCAAATTAAACCTTGAATGCTTTGCCTAACATATTTCTCAGCCAATTAATGTAACTATTTCATAAAAGTTGTAAAATTCATACAGTTATTACCAGTCTGCGATAGATTTAAAGTTGTGATTTCTAAATGTTTGTAGTATAATTTTAGTAAGAGATCTCTATATACACTGCCTAACATAGAAAAATGCAACACCATGAGATTTGGCAATATAAATATGCAAATTTCGTAGAATATGTAGCAGAACAAGTCATGCAGATGATATAAGATGCAAGCTGGTCATTTGATTATAGTGCTAGATAAAAAAACAAGGAAATGGTGGGTAAACCAACAGTCGCTACTTAGGGAATCTAGGATTTTGAGAAATTCATTGTTCCAGAAGACACATGTGAATGAAGAGATGCCTGGACGATGACACCATAGGCAATTCCATGAAACGGACAATTTTACGAGCGGTCAAATTGTAGGCTTATATACGGCTGGTTAGTTTCATTGTCGTATCACTGCTGAAATGCACATAGATGATCTACGATGCATAGAATTTGGTCTAGATGGATTTATGAAGTTAATGTAAATAGTCACAAAAGACAAGGTCCATCTAGACGAAGAGAAGTGATGGCAGCCCCACAATTGACTACTAGAAACATTTTGCAGAATGTGTAAGGAGTTTTGACTACTCCAATTTCTGGGAGAACAGTTTCCCGATGTTTGGCTGAAAGTAGCTTTCAAACAAGCCACCCTTTGTGAGTTAACAACAAACTAGCAGTGCAAAAGACTACAATAGCATCATCGACAAGCCACTTGTACATCTGAATGGCACAATGTCAATTCAGCAAAAAGCCTCAGTTTTGTTTGTCAGTTAATAGTCACCTGTTAAGAGTCTGGAGATGCCAGAGAGTTAGAGCCAATCCGACTGAATGCCCCACCATTCGTCAGTATGGCATAATGGTTTGTGGTGCCATCAGTCGTAATAGCAGGTCACCCCTGTTACTCATCAGAGGCACATTGATGGCATGATGATATGTTGATAAGCTGCTGCAGCCGATTGTGCTACCTTATCTTCACTGGCTGCAAAATGATATTTTCCACCAGGACACTACAACACAACATATGGCGTTCATTAGTCAACGAGCTTTGCATCATATCCAGTTGCTTCCTTGGCCTGCAATATCCCCTGATCTTTCGTTCATGAGCATATCTGAGACATGATTAGTCTTTGTTTGTCTGCTATGCTCCAACTGTTATCAGGCAATGAACTTTGGAGGAGGTTTAGAGTATGTGGGCTTCCATCCCTCAAGACATTATCTGCCCACTAACTGAATCTCTACTTCATAGGGTGCAGATTGCATAAAATTTGAATTACAAGAGGTAATCATATATCTTAATCTTGCCTTGTATATTTCAACATTGTATAAATTTATCTTTCTGTAAATAACATCACTTTTTTATATATGCATGCTCTGTTTGTGTATCAGTTGACATCACATTCTACCCAGTCTTTCATGGTGTTCCATTTTCTATGTCAGGCAGTGTATTTAAATTTCAACAAGAGATTTTTAAACATAAATTTAAGTTTGAAATTTGAGACATTAATGTGATGTAATTTATGATTCTGAACATAAAAGAACCAAATAATTATTATATAATTTTAGAGATATATGTGTTAACCTTATTATATTCTTCTGTATATGAATTATATTTTTCATAGAAATATCACTGCTTTGAAATGATGTGAAACATCTACTTAAAAATAAAGGACTCCAAAAATTATACTTTTTTATAGTAGTTGATCTTTCAAGTAAGCAAGAAAATAGTAAATGACTTTACTACCTGATTTATCTTCTCTTTGTATTTCATTTGTTTCATCTGAATATTTTCTTTTTTAATGAAAAAGCTGCATTTGATAAAGTATAAATGATAAAGAAAAAAATGGTTCAATAATTAAAAATATCATTATTATTAAAACAATTATTTATATAGTTAGTGAACCAAAAAAAAAAAAAAAGATATTGATTTTTTTCTAAATTTTCTATTGATTAATATTATTTTCTGTGATTATTTAAAACTTTTCATTTGTTGATAAAAATTTTCCCCTTTAAAATGATAATGCTTTTCAAGAAAGCAACGTTTTTGATGGTAAAATAATACAAGGTTATAATCTAGTGCAGATTTTTTTTTGGGGGGGGGCGGGGTTAAAACTTCTGGTTAGTAGTTGAAACTTCTGTTTTTTTTTTTTTTTTTTTTTTTTTTTTTTTTTGTTAGTTATTTTTTTCTTTCTTTTTTAAGAAGTATTAAATGTAAAATTAATAATTGGATGCTAACAGAATCTTTCCCTAGCAATTAAATAATTAAGTTATTTATTCTGATTCAATAGGAAAGTGGGAGATGGCAGTTAGAGGCTGGTGCTCTTGTTTTAGCAGATGGAGGTATGTGTTGCATAGATGAATTTAACAATATTAAAGAGCAAGATAAAACATGTATTCATGAAGCAATGGAACAGCAAACAATCAGTGTGGCAAAGGTTGGTTTCTTGATGGCATTTTAAATATTTAAACTCTGTGAATTGTTTTAAATTTACATATTATTTAATTTTTGATTTCAGGCTGGCCTGGTTTGCACTCTGAGCACTAGATGTTCAATTCTTGCGGCTACTAATCCAAAAGGAAAATATGATAAAAACCTGGTAATTTTATTAATTATGATGTAAATTTTTAAATAATGTATGACATAAAGGTTTTTAAAGTAGTGTGTAGTTATTATTATTATATTGGGTGATTCTTTTGGTACTAGATCTAAAAGTTGCTAATATTCAAATAGTTATCGAATATGTATGCATGAAATTTGCATCAAAGGACATCATCAGGACACTGACTGATAGAATGAATCAAGTCTAAAACTTTTTTTGTGACCAGATTGTTTCAAAAGGCTTATGGCTGCTATGATTTCCTGACTTAAGCCTGATGGATCTTCCTCCCTTCCCAAAGGGACTATTTTAAAGGAAAAGTTTATGTTAACAAGTTACATATCACACAGGAAAGGTAAAACAACATTGACTGGTCACAGTTTTGCAGGCCTTTTTCACGAGCACAAAGCTTCTCATACAACTATGCCTAGATAGTAGTGGTGAGCAAGAATTTCCTTCATTTTCTTTAGTATTGACATGCCCTCGTGATGTAAGGTATGTATTCAAATATACATGTTCAAATTTTAGTAATAATCTTTGAAATATTGACATTTTCTTTGGTCTAGTACTAAAGGAATCTTGTTATATTATTAGCTATGAAATGAAGTGGGTAGACATCAGAATCTTTTTTTAATTCAAATTTTCTTCTGTTCTGTTTTCATAATTCTCTGTCAGTAGATGTGGTTTTTATGTATCTTGCTTTCCTTTTACAGTATACTCTCGGTTATAAGGGTTAATACAAGAAGCAGGTCATGGATAATCCAAATTATCAACTTTCATGCATGATGTATGTGTTTATTTCTTTAAAAAATTGATAATTTACTCTGTTTTTGAGAACATTTAAATATTTTTTGAATTTCACTGCATATTTTTCTCTCTAAGTGCTATTTTATCATTGTATTCGAATACTATTTGGTCAACAAAGTGAAATAGAGGTTTAAACAGAAGTCACTGCTGTCTCGAGACTAATGTAACTGTCCGTATCTTCTATTCTTGTATTTCAGTAGCACTCTCTGTGTCTTCTGTTCTTGTGACATTTGAAATGATAACTGCATCACTAAAGCACTGAAAGTCCAGCTCTGTTGAATTGTCATTGAACCATTCCTTGATGTTTTCCTGATCGATATTTTCAAAGAATTTTACCTTTTCATTTTTTTGACATTTAACTTCAGTTATTGTCTTGATTTTTTCAAAATTAGACAAATCACCAATTTATGAGTAAGCCCTATGCCTCTTTTTGATTGTAATATTCTACAGGGAGATTTTTCATTTTTGTCCATTTACATGATCTAGGCTTCTTTATTCCAATCACCAGAAGTTTCATCTTATGTGTGTAGTTCATGCATCTGCACAACACATGATTGTAATGTGCTCTTTAGATGATTTGTGACCAGAGGTGGACTTTTCTTTTGATGAAGCAAGTGTTTTTATTGGCAAACACCTCCAACATAGGCCTGTCTCATCTGCTTTTATTGATTTGATCATGCTGATATGAAACCTTAAAAACAAGACCTTAAAGTTGACTTCTAATTCCAACTTTTCATAAAAAAACTTGGATTTTTCCATGCACATTTGACCACTACTTTGCACTTATTCCCTCGTTTCTGGTTAAACCATGTTAGCAGGCCAGATTAAGACTTTTAGAGGGCCTAAGCACTTATAAGATTTTGGTGCCCCTAAATTAATTTACACCTTCCCCCATTCCTTTTCTATTGCTTTTGGTTTACCTGTACCATATATTCTATGGTAAAACTGGCGATGAGAATTTTTTGTAATGCTCCCTCTCCTGAGTTCCTACTCTGAAATATACTGAATACATCTGAAATATCGAGAACCATTTATAATAATGGAAGTATTACCCTAGTGATACTTAGAAAATAACACAACTAGAAGCGAAGGATCGAGGTTACTATTTCATGATCGTGGTGACTCTTTTTCTTGATACCCGAAGTACATGCTTGTTTTGCTTAAAGTTAATCCAGCTTTACATGCTAGCTTAGCATCTGTATGGGTTTGTAATAGATTGAATGCACACACAACCGATAATAGCTTGATAAAATTTATATTTACCAAAAGAAACACCTTACAATTCTGGAACTTTCCACAAAAGTACACATACAACTCTTCTCATTTTCAGTAAGTTGTTGCTCTCCAAATTACTAAGAATGATGAACTCAATGCATCTAAAAGGCGAAGCTGTCATGAATTTCTCAAAACTTTGAAGCAACTTTGAACTAACAACTGAGAATTTGGTGCTCTGTCTGGTCTTATATAGGTTTCAATCAGTCACTGAGAAATCTGTAGTACCTTCCATTTCTCAAAATTACTGAAAGGTATATGAGGGTCGGCTACAGTTACATATAATGATCGATTATATTTATTCAATCACAGTACCAATTGCAGTTATAAGGGATCGGACCAAAATGCCTCCAAATTATCACAAAGTTTGGCGATGTATGGCAATTTTCTGCCAAAATTGGCGACAATAGTTAGTTGCCAAAACCATTGCCACCTTGGTGATATCTCGCCACTATAATGAGATAGCCATTTACTCAGTGTTAAATAGACTTGCTTCTTTTAATCTTATTTTTCCGGCAGAGCATCGTCTCAAGAATTTTATGTTACATTATACAAAAAGTACTACAAATTCACATATAATTTCACTAAAATTACTTGTAAAACATGCAACATTTTTGGTCAGTCATTACAAAAGAGAACAAATCACAGCTAACATATTTTCAGAAGTGGGATGAATACCTACCACATGCACCATGAGTGTCAAAGAAGGGATGAGTTTCAATTTGAAACTTGAATGTTTTTTGTTCTGAAATTTGAATGCTGTAGAATATTTATATAGTCAAAAGTCGTTAATTCGGACACCCATAATTCGGAATGATCTATAATCCGGACATCAAAACTAAAAACTTTCTGCGCATGCGCCGCGTTGACACATGCGCATAGGCGTTTACGCGAGCGCCTAAGACCTTTTACGCTTGCTCTTTCCTCCTGTGTCCAAACAAGAGGACTCTTATCGAACCTGGATTTTTTGCTTAACTGCTTCTTTCACAAACTTTAGATACCGCAAGTGCAGAATACGTTTTCGCGTGCGCGTTTTATGTATAATGGACGTATAAGCAAAAATTATCTAATTATCTATTTCAGTTAATGTTGATGATTGCGTTGTTCCTTAATTTTCGAATTGGATCCGGCTTATTATTTTTTCAGACTGTAAGAGCAATTTTATATAAAGTAAGCTTAAACTTTCGATTATATCAAATAGAATTTCCGATATATATTTGTTAATATGTAAAGGATCTAAAGCGAAAGTATGTTTTGAAATCCGAAATCTGTTTATCAATTTCACGCTGCTCGGCGGGGGGGAACGCCGCGCCGCGGCGGGCGCGTAATGAATTGGAAGTTGATTTGTCAGCACTATCCTTATCTCTTCAGCGCAGATGTTTTTTATTTGGCTTATAATTCCTTACCAAATGTAGTATTTCATCTCGATATGCTCCGTCTTTGATATGATTTAAAACAAGTTCCTGGTCATTATAATTCGCTTCCGATAGCGAAAAAAGTAACAGAGGTTATTGAAAGCGAAAAAATTTCGATTGACAAATTAGTCGGTGTTCTTGACACAGCAATTATAGGACTTGAACAGCGGAACTTTGTAAACTGAACAAGAAATTAATGTCTGTTTAATAGAATTAAAGAGAAGTATTATCACATGAAACGAAGCAAAACTTAAACAACTTACATTAAAAGAAATGTTTAATAAAGTAAACAAATAAATATTAAGCTTTTTCTTTTTGCAAATTTTGATACCCTTTAGATCATAATTGTTCTTTATTTCATAAATTACGGTTTCATATTTTTAATTTTAGAATTTCTGCATGCCATCTTACGAGATTTAAACTGATGATCTATAATCCGGAAAAATCGATAATCCGGAATCGCCGAAGTCCCGACGAGTCCGGATTAACGACTTTTGACTGTATTGAATTATTTAGGATGATACTAACAGTTTAGAATTTAGAAGCATAGAATCATATTGTTAGTTCTTATCATGGATGAGAGTACCAAGAAAGCTTTAGGTAAAACAAAAATAAAATGCAAAATGTTAAGAAGATGAAATGACATAAGCTTTAGGACCAAGGACCAAGGCGTTTGAATTACGGAGTACCTTTGCAATTAAATGCAATTACCTCCACATCTTCGTTCAGAAAATTGGAATGATTAAGAGAAAGCAGTAGCTAAAGTTTGTGAAAGAAGCAGTTAAGCAAAAAATCAAGGTTCGATAAGAGTCCTCTTGTTTGGACACAGGAGGAAAGAGCAAGCATTGATCACAATGGAGGGTGTTTAGCCCCCCGTCGCGAGTCAACTGCTTGTTCTCAGATACAATAGGAGAGGCAGCCAGCACGCTGAGCGTGAATGGTTGCCATGGAAACGAAACAGCTGATGGAGAGAGGCGCGGAAAAACCGGGCCCCGGGAAAGGTAAGGTAACTGTATTCAAGCTTTTAGCTAAGAGCCTTGGGATGGTCGGGGTGGGGGGACGAGGTCATTGACCGAAGAAGGCGAAAGAGTCGAAAAAGCGCTTGCTGTTTGAGTAGCGAAGAACCGAAGGGTGAAATTGTAAGAAATGCAGCTTGTATTGCAGAGATGAAGCTTTAGCTAGGGAGAAATGATTTAATAATTTTTGAGTAGCAGATGGATATTAACATTTGAGGTATTAGTTAAATTTATAAGAATAATATGCTATTGCTTTCTTTATTCGTCTGGCAGGAGAGTTTTTAGTAAGATTTAAGATTTTAATGATTAATGTGTTTAAAGAATTATATGCTATTGCATTCTACATTCTTCTGGCAGCAGAGGTCTTGGCAAGGAGTGGGTATTATATAAAAGTAGCAGCACGGTGATGGTTTCGCGAAAAGCTATGCCAGATTAGGTCTGGGGGGTATGTTTAGTTAAATGTAGCTGGGTTAGGCCCATGAAGCACTGA